GATGATGATGATGATGATGATGATGATGTTAACGGGCCATAAAGAGGTCTCTGCAGCGACGGGACCGTTTGGACAGCACACGGGCACGAGCATTCACAAGGTTCGGAATGACATCAGGGCCCTGACGACCAAGATGACGAAGAGCATTAAAGGTAGCAAATGCGAGATCATGAACTAGCAGGCTGGCTAACATTTGGTCCTGCGTCATCTGCGAGACATCAGAGATAAAGAGACGCACCAGAGCAGAGCAAGACGAGAAAGAAGCAGGAAGGACAGGGAGGACACGAGACAGGGCCGGGATAAGGACTGGACACTCAAACATGTGGCGGATGCTATCCCCACCCTCCACCTCGCAGCACCTGCACGGGCGACACGCTTGACGGTACCGCTTGGTCGTCGGCCAAGCGTTGCAGATGGACTTCAAATAAGCAACTGCCGTGGACGGTGCAAGGAGGCGATTTGCAATTCGTAGATTCAGGAAAACTCTGTTCGTGATCCAATCGGGGGCTTGGGGGTCAAAATACCGAATTCGGGGCACAAGCAGCCTGGAACAGGGCATCAGATCTCGGAACCGAAGAAAACGAGTGACCTTGGCCTGGAGGTGTTGGGTATCCTCGTTATACTCATCGTGGAACCGCGGAATGGCCGTCAGGCAACGAAAATTACGTAAACAAGTGACACACATACTGTTCTGGAGCCAACTTGGGAACCGACGAACAGCTAAGATGTCCCAGTCTTCATCCTCCAGATACGTCAGCTTTGCAAACGTAGCCTGAGCAGCAGCAGAGAATACACATGCACGGAACATGGCAGCACGATTCTCCTGTACCAACGGCCTCGGGCAGAACTTAAAGCCGTAACCAGAGAAGTGTCGTAAAGTGTCCGTCGGGATCGCGAACCGTGGACTCGAAGTAAGCCGCTGAAGCACAGTCTGCTCCGCTTGTCGCACAAAGTCGGGCACAGGGAGAAGTTGTAACACATATGAGAGGACAGGGAAAGCGAGGGTATTGTACTCCTTAATGCCGAGACTGAGACCCAGTTTTAGCCCCTTCACATAATCCCCGCGAGCAATGTACTTCCGAGTCGGACCGCGCCAGGACGCAGAGGGCCCATCAGGACCAACCCAGACTCCCAGATATTTGCCATTCGTGCGAAAATTGAGCCGACCAACAGGGACCCCACGAGCACCCAGACGTTCACTCACCCGAGATATCAGAGCCTCAGAGGGAACGACGACAACGCACTTGGAGTAGTTGAGCTCGAGGCCAGTGAGGACTTCCGAGACCTGGAAGAGCCTGAGGACCTTATCCACCACGCGCACAATATCCCCCGAGGCGATGCCAACGTCATCCATGAACGCGAGCGCACGCCCTGGCAAAGGCTTGACCAGCCTATCTATGACCCTCAACATCGGGTCAAAGCAAAGGTTGAAGATGAGGGCGGAGAGAGGGCATCCCTGTTTCACTCCCGTCCCGATCTGAAATCCGTTGAAGACTCTTCCACCCATCAGAATCTGGACATTCATGTCCGTGTACAACTCGCGAATGGCGTCCACATAGTAAGACGGTATGCCCAGCGAGCTCAAAATGAAGAATATCCAAGAATGAAGAAGCGAGGGAAACGCAGCAGCCAGGTCTAGGAGGAAAAGGCCCGCACACTCGAACCCCTTGTAACAGGCATATTCCAAAAGCGACCCTTCAAGAGCAAAGACGTTGTCCAGGATATTGCGTTTTTTGATGCCACCAGTCTGGAACGGGACCACCGAAAACCGAGCTTGAAGTCCCAGGGGGACCGAGAGGCCTCCAGAAATCAACTTGTTATCTGTGTTCGAGAGCACAATGGGTCTGGTCTGGGCAGGACCACGAAGAACCGTGAGGGTATCTTCTTCAACATTCTTGGGAGGGAATACCACGTAGCCATGGTTGAAAGCATGTGGAAGGCGAGTGCCTCGTAACAAGGCCACATATGCTTCATATAGCGCATCACGAGTGAGAGTTCCACCACACCGCCATGCCGAGTAAGGAATGCCGTCGGGACCAGGGGCCGTATCACGCTTCCTGAGAGAAATCAAACCACTGAAAACTGACGAGTCGATCTCCCACTCTATGCCGCTGCTCACCGTCCCGATGTGCAGCTCTAAAAGACGCCGTGCTTGGTCCGTGGAAGCACCTATCGCAGCACCGAGGGGGCAAGGGTTTCCCCCTGCAACTGGTGGGGCTCTATGCACTGCAGCCCAATGTCTACGAAGACTGGCAACACTATCTTCAAAAGACTGAGGTTGGCCATCATCAGCCACACAACCTGCAAGAGAAACTCGTCGTCGTTTCGGGTTCCAACTCCGCATGTTTTGCTGGGTGCGTGTAATGACAGGGTCGGTTCTGGATATAGGTCCACCATCATGTTCCTCAAGGGCCCTTTGGAGATCCTCCTGGAGAACTTCAAGATGGAGTTCAGCTACATGCTGGTGAAAGCCAATACGATCAGTAAAACCGTCAGGGGTAGCAAACCGATCCAAGACAGGGTAAGCAGCTAAACATTTGCGCACACAATTAGCCATGGAGCCAGACCGAAGACAACGAAGTAGCTTAAGACAAACAGCAATACGTTGTTGAGGAGTGACTGGCCCAAGACGATACAAGCGTCGAGTGAGAACATCTTTAATGTAGAACATGCAATCTTTCAATTGCTGAAGTTTCTCGAAGGGGTCGACGGAGAGCCCGAACTTCTCGGCGGCAGCCTCGAGTAACGAACAATAATCAGGATGAGCCGTGACCCATCGTTGGATACGCGGCGGTCCGATACAACCAGGGCATAGCTGTACAAAGACAGGAACGTGGTCAGACGGTTCGAATGACGCCATGGGATCACCTAGGACACCAGTGCGAGGGTGCAGGTCAATCAAATCAGCCGTGGGGCAGTTAGTGTATATCCTATCAAGCCGACCTAAGCTCGCGTTCTGACGACATCTGTGTGTGAAATCCACCTGTTCGACTTCTGTAAAGTCCCTGAATACCTGAAGGAATGTGTTAATAGTGCCTGGAGCCTCCCCTCTAGAGCTGCCGTCAGCGATGGAGACGCGATGCTCGCCACTCTCCAGACAATTGAAGTCGCCACCGAAAAAAACAGAGAGCCTGCGCCGCACTCAGCGTGTGCCTGCCTATCTTACGAAACAGACCTTGCCGAACGAGGGGAGGGTGAAGCGGGTTGATGTGAATATTGCCGATCTGTAGAGTTCCAGAGGTCCCAGAAAGAGTAAGAAACATGATGCGCCCAGCTTCCATAACCTTCGAAGAGATGTTGGAGAACAGAGAGAGCAGCCTAGAGCATATTGAAATGGTGACCCCCCCCGCCCGATGGGACGAACAGAAGCTACCAAAGTGTTTAAACCCAGGGAAATCTCTCTGGAGGGAAGTGAGATCCTGGCGGGTACCATGGACCTCCTGGAGAAGGACTACCTGGTACTTAGCGAACAGTTTTGAGACCTTACTAGAGCGCTGACGCTGAAGTTCATGCTTGCCAAAAATGCTACCGAAATACGCAGACGTGTTGTAAGTGCAGATGCCAAAACTTGCAGTGAAATTAAACGGAACGAACCACTCAGCAGGGGGAGAGGGGAAGGGGGAGGAGGAGGAGGAAGAAGAGCTGCCCTTGTCCGAGCCCCTGTCGTCAGAATGGCAAGACCCAGCATTCCGACTGTTCGACAAAGGGAGCGAGTGGGAACGAAAAAACTGAGCATCCGTCAGACCTCGAAGCTGTCGAAGTGCATCCTAGCGTGGAACATCGACTTGAACCTTCTCGCCGAACGACGCAATCTTGTCCTCAGGCACGCCGAGGTCCTTGAGAGTCGTACAGAAGGGTTCGACTACGCACTCGCCTGAAAGATCGCCTCCAACACTGTTGAGCTGGACCAACTTAACGTACTCATCGTTATCCACCAAGAAAACCGTGCCTTTGAAGGGATCCGTGCCGAGCTTGAAGTGTGGGCGCCAGCAACCATGCTCATGGAGGAGAGCGTGCGCAACAGCCCAAGATCTAGAGAGAGCCACCTTCTTCAACCGAACAGGCAGCGGCTGATCCGTTCCAACTCGCAAAATATGCTGCTTCATGCCGTCTTTGTGGTCCTTCCAGATCGGCGGCCTCTCCCGAGCCTCGGCGATGAAGGCTTTGGCGCGCTCGATCGTGGGAAAGATGATCGGGTAAGTGTACTTGCCATTCGCAGGCTTACACTCAGCGTTGACTAAAGAACCGTACTCGGCAGAGATCTGAGTGAAATGCTTCTTGAAGGCGGAGGCCATCATCTCGCGAGGGAAGCCACGAAGCCAGACACGATTCTCAATCCGACCTGGAGCAAGAAGCTCGGGGCCAGCTAACCGAGGGGCCACCCGACGACCAGCATCAGAACTGCCCGAGCCGTAAGACGTAGGAGCACGAGACAGTGATGCTATAGAGGTTTGAATAGTAGCCAAAGTGGCATTGATGTCGTTGATCTTTCTGTCCGTCTGAGCGCTGAGCATGGAAACGGTGAGGGCCTCATCGACCGTGTCCATGTCGTCCGTGTCCCGTGAACCCGCCGCAGTGATTTGAGACTGTAGCGCTTCGAAGCGCGTGTCGATCTCCGTGCGCATCTCCTTGCGCATGTCGTTCATCTCCGTGGTGATCTCAGCCAACCTCTTGTCGTGGCCGCTGACCGCCTGCACCACAGAAGCCATGGACGTGAGCAGCTGATCCATCTTCTGGTCCATGGAGACAGCACCCGCCATCGCAGCAGAGGGGTCTGAAGGAGAGAACGAACCTTGTTTGTTCGAAGGGAAGACGGCACCCTGTGTGCCAAGAGCGCTCGATCTGCTCCTTGGCTGCTCCCAAGCTGGAGCCACGGAGCAATGGTTCCAACTTGAGCCAAAATGGCTACGGATGATGATGATGATGATGATGATGATGATGATGATGATGATGATGATGATGATGATGATGATGATGATGATGATGATGATGATGATGGGTGATGATGATGATGATGATGATCATGATTGCATGGCTGGCGCACAATGGAAAATTGAGTCCACATAGGCGTTTTCCGCCGCCCCCGATTGATTCATCAGAGGAGTGCCTGGCTTTGCGAATGCCGCGCTAGGGTGTTGGGCCCCTTACAAGCCCGCGCCTCACCAGGCAGCCCAGCGCGACACCGCAGCCCAAGAACAAGATCCAGGCACCAGCCAAGATCAAGACTGCAATTTGAATTACTTCCCCTGGCTCGGTGGTGGCTGTGGTGTTTGATATGGCCGAACTCGTGCCCGTATCAATGGTCGTCGTGGCCGTCTTGGTGGTCGTCGCGGAAGTCTTGATGGTCTCGGTGGTTGTCTCGGTGGTTGTCTTGGTGGTAGAAATGCTTGACGTCGCGGAACTCGTGGCCGTCCTGGTGGTGACGATGGTGTCGAACACGTACACGGAGCCAGATTCGCCGCCCTGGTCGTCGTCATTGTAGGCCCCCACCACCACGCGGGCCCCGTCGGAGATCACGGCCACCGCCATTCCGAAATAGTCGTATGCGGCCCCATCACTCGCCACAAGCTTGAGCAGCCTCTCGCCGGTGGTACCGTCGAAGACGTGCACGGAGCCAGAATCGTCGCCCTGGTCGTCGTCCATCTGGGCCCCCACCACCACGCGGGCCCCGTCGGAGCTCACCGCCACCGCCATTCCGAAGTTGTCGTATTCGGCCCCATCACTCGCCACAAGCTTGAGCAGCCTCTCGCCGGTGGTACCGTCGAACACGTGCTCGGAGCCAGATTTGCTGCCCTGGTCGTCGTCATAGTATGCCCCCACCACCACGCGGGCCCCGTCGGAGCTCACGGCCACCGCCACTCCGAAATGGTCATCTTCGGCCCCACCACTCGCCACAAGCTTGAGCAGCCTCTCGCCGGTGGTACCGTCGAACACGTGCACGGAGCCAGAATAGCTGCCCTGGTCTTCGTCACGATAGGCCCCCACCACCACGCGGCCCCCTCGGAGTTCACGGCCACCGCATTTCCGAAATAGTCGTATGCGGCCCCATCACTCGCCACAAGCTTGAGCAGCCTCTCGCCGGTGGTACCGTGGAACACGTGCACGGAGCCAGATTGTGTGCCCTGGTCGTCGTCAGCTAAGACCCCCACCACCACGCGGGCCCCGTCGGAGCTCACGGCCACCGCTTCTCCGAAACGGTCCTGTGCGGCCCCATCACTCGCCACAAGCTTGAGCAGCCTCTCGCCGGTGGTACCGTCGAACACGTACACGGAGCCAGAATTTAGGCCCTGGTCGTCGTCATAATTGGCCCCCACCACCACGCGGGCCCCGTCGGAGCTCACCACCACCGCCATTCCGAAGTAGTCGTATCCGGCCCCATCACTCGCCACAAGCTTGAGCAGCCTCTCGCCGGTGGTACCGTCGAACACGTGCACGGAGCCAGAATTTAGGCCCTGGTCGTCGTCCAGACGGGCCCCCACCACCACGCGGGCCCCGTCGGAGCTCACGGCCACCGCATTTCCAAAATAGTCGTCTGCGGCCCCATCACTCGCCAAGAGCTTGAGCAACTGCGCGCCGCTGGTAGCCTGGCGCCTCCCCAACTCGGCCTGCGGCTCGCGAGGGCGACCGCTCGCCGAGTCCTCCAGCCTCAGCGTCCCGCTCGCCGGCGACCGGGCGCTCGGGGCGCCGCGCGCTGCCAGCAGCAGGAGCAGCGCGCCGACGCTGTGAGACGTGCGCAGGCGCATGATGCGGTCTGCAGATGTGCGCAGCTGCAAAGAACGAGAGACGCCCGAGGGGAGCCCTGGGAGGCCAGCGACGGCCCCTTGGAACCTTGAGCCAAAATTGCGTCGGACCTTCCGCTTTTGGTTTTGGTTCTCTTTCCAAAGGAACTCCCCCTGGCGCTTCGGCCCATCCCGCCGGCCACCCGAAAGGGAGCTCCAGGAGCTCAATCCCAGAAAAATCCCCCAAGACGGCTCAAGATGGCCTCCAAGACGCCTAGACTGCCTCGAAGACCGCCCTGACACGGCCCATGAGCCTGAAGTCGGCTCCGAGAGGCCTCAAAGACGGTCTCGGACGGCGTCGGATGGGCCAGGAACGCTCTAAGACAACCAAAGACTCCCTCAAAGAGTCCCCAGAGGTCCCCAAGAAGGCCAAGGAGGCCTCCCGAGAAGCATTCAAAAGGTCCACAGGAAGTTCCAACAAAGCACCCAGAGCCCAAAAGTGCCCCAAGAAGCTTTCAACAATTTCCTGTTCCCTCCTGCTGTTTCCCCCCTCTCCTTCTCCGTCTCTTTTCCCCCGAAGTGTTCCCCGAAGGTGTCGAGGCGAGACTCGGGGAATACATGGTCCGATGGTTTCGTCAAGCTCCGCCTCCAACAACGCCCAAGATGCACCCAACACTGCCTCCATCGACTGGCTCCGATTATTTCCTCATGCTATTTTCTGGCCACCGAGTAAACAATGCAGTCCGTTGTCCCACCAAGTTTGTGCAAATGATAAATTTCAGCGCCATCGCACAAGAAGGCCAAGGAGGCCTCCCAAGGTGGCCCCAAGAAGCCCCAGTATAGCCCCAAAATGGCTTTCAAGACAGTCCCAAGATGCCTCCAAGACCGCAAAGATGGCCCAATATTACCCTAGAGTAGCCCGAGAGGCTCCAAAGAGGCCTCATCCTCCCTTCTCCTTCTTCCTCCCTCTCCTCTCCTTCCTCCTCCCCCACCGTGTTCCCCGAACACTTTCCAAACCGATTCGGGGAACACATGGTCCGATAGCTTGGCAGGTCTCTGGCCACAACGTTCGGCCACATAGGCGTTTCCAAAAAGGCAGGGGGCGGCGGTGATTCGCCGCAGGCGTCTTCGATCCGCCGCCCCCTGTCGATTCATCGCAGGGGGGCCTGGCGTGCTGGGCCCTTTTGGTTTTGGTTTTGGGTTATTTTCCAAAAGAACTCTCCCAATGGGTTTCGGCCCGTCCCGCCGGGGTCCCAGAAGGATTGCCCGGGAGCGCAAACTCCACGACAAATCCTCCCTGAAACGGCCGTTTCGCTCGGGAAGTCCTCAAAAAATCGCGAAGATGGCCCAAGATGGCCTCCAAGTCCGCCCAAGATGGTCCAAGACGGTCTCCAAGACGGCCCAAGAGAGTCCAAGACGGCCCAAGACGGCCCAAGAGGCCCCCCAGAGGCTTCCCAGACGGCCCAAGAGGCCTCCAAGAGGTCCTCCAGGAGGGCCCGAAAAGGTCAAAATCATTGATTTTCCTTAGGTTTTATAAGGATTTTGGAATTTGCTTCTTCTCGGCATTCCGACGGCTCAGGACGGCCCAAGAGGGCCCCAAGATCGCCCAAGAGGCCCCCAAGAGGCCCCCATGACAGCCCAAGTGGCCTCCAAGATGGCCCCAAGACGGCCCCAAGACGGCCCAAGAGGCCTCCAACACGCCCAAGATGGCCTCCATGACGCCCAAGATGGCCTCCAAGACAGCCCCGAAGCGCCCCAAGAGGGTCCCCCGTTGGCCAAAAAAGGCCCCCAAGACGGCTCCCGACGGCGTCAGACGTGCCAGGAACCCACCAAGATGGCCGAAGTTGCCGCGAAGCTGGCCCAAGACGGCCCAAGAGGCCCCCAAGAGGGCCTCCAGGAAGGCCACAAGAGCCAACAACATGGATGTTCCTGAGGTTTTTGACGAATTTTGACATGTCTTTTCGGCCTTCCGACGGCCCGAGACGGCCCAAGAGCCCCCACAGATCGCCGAAAGATCGCCCAAGAGGCCTCCAAGACGGCCAAGATGACCTTCAAGATGCCCACGTGTTCCCCCAAGGCTTTCCAAACCGATTCGGGGAACATGGTCCGATGGCTTGGCAGGTCTGGCCTCAACGTTCGGCCACATAGGCGCTTCCAAAAAGGCGGGGGGCGTCGGTGGTTCGCCGTAGGCGTCTTCGATCCGCCGCCCCCTGTCGATTCATCGCAGGGGTGCCTGGCGTGCTGGACCCTCTCGGTTTTGGTTTGGTTCTTTTTCCAAAAGAACTCTCCCAATGGGTTTCGGCCCGTCCCGCCAGGGTACCGGGAGGATTGCCCAGGAGCGAAAACTCCACGAAAAATCCTCCCTGAAACGGCCGTTTCGCTCGGGACATCCTCAACAAATCGCGAAGATGGCCAAAGATGGCCTCCAAGTCCGCCCAAGATGGTCCAAGACGGCCTCTAAGACGGCCCAAGAGAGTCCAAGACGGCCCAAGACGGCCCAAGAGGCCCCCCAGAGGCCTCCCAGACGGCCCGAGAGGCCTCCAAGAGGGGGGCCGGCAGGTGGGTGAGTTTGAGCCGTGAGTGGAGAGCTATGCTTTCGACTGTGATGCTTTTTGTTGCGGACGGAGCGGTCGTGACCGCCTGCCTGCTGCAGGGGAGGTGCGCGGGCAGCAAGCGGGCCGCTGAGTTCCTGTGGGGAACTACGGTGAGCTGGGGGATCGTCGCGGCTGCACGCGGCCTCGAATTCTGGGTTATTGCATGTTTTTGTTTGGGTGTTGTGGGGTTCCCCACGGCGCTCCAGAGTCCCCAAAGTGGACCAAGGCGAGGGGAGAATATAACCCCCCTCCACCGGCCACTCCTCGTCCAGCGGTGGTGCACATGGCGCCGCAACGTGCCAGGAGGCCGGTAGGAACAAGGGTAGGCATGCCGCGCTTGCATCGGCGAGCGCTGGTGCGCCTGGTGCGTGAGTGCGACGCTGTGCGAATTAGGGCCCCAATTTCTGGCCATGAAGTGATCAGATATTCCTCACTGTCCTCCAGGGGCGTCGACCGGGAGGGCATCGCGGCGGAGGGCGGCGCCCCCCCCCCTCCCCTTTCCCTCCCTCTCCCACCACCGAACAAGATTTGGCGGTGGCGGTCGAGTCCGGGTTGGACGCCGAGCCAGAGGCGCGGCTGCGTGGCGGAGCGGCACCGCGCTGGAAGGGCACGGAGCGAGAGGAGCTCTTCGGGATGATCCGGGGGCTGCAGGAGGCCGTCCAGGAGCTTCAGCGGGCTCAATCGGGAGCGACGCAAACTGGGGGCGGGCGTAAGCCTTGGGTGTCTGTGGCCAAGAGAAAGAAGAAGGGGAAACGGGGGAAGGGGGCTGCTGTCGGGGGTACCCCCCACCCGCCCCGGACCGCTGCTCCGACCCCCGACGGTGCGGAAAAGAGTTTTTCGGGCTGGGAGTTTTTGGCCCCAAAGCTGCACGCCTTCAAGGGACGGCTCGTGCGGAGAGAGGGCCCCCCTTCGAACGCCGAACTCGCCCGTCAATTAATTGAGGTTCCTGGGCAGCTCGGACACGGCATTGGTTCTGCTTCCGCCGGGGGCACGGCTCCAGCCCAGCCCCCGAGGCTGTCGGCGGCGACGGCGGAAACTCCGCGGAAGCCAGCGGCTTGGACGAACCTCTTCGCTCCCAAGGGCGGGGGGAATTCTGGAGGGGGGGTCTTGGAAGAGAGATGGGGCGACGCAGGAGCCGGGTGCGGCTCGGAAACCTCAGCTCTGGCGCCCGGCCTGGGGCGAGGCCACGATCACATCGGTGGCCGCAGCTCCGTCCGTTGAGCGGGGGGATTGTCCCCTCGTCATGGTTGCGTCCTCGGAGGAGGAGGAGGTTGATCGGGGCGTCATGTGGGCGACTGCTGCCAGTCGCTCCGCCACGGTTGTGCGTTTCCACCCTGCGGGGGAAGAGGACGTGCTTACGCAGGGGAGGTGGGGCCCGATCAGGGCGAAGGCCACGGTTCGGCGAGTAGGTAGCGACCCCCCTTCAGGAGCCCCCGCTAGGCCGCCCCAAGGACGATGCGGCGCAGCCAACGCAGGCCTTGAAGAAGCTGCGCCTCACGATGGCCGACGAGTATGCTTCCAGCGAGCTTTGGGCCTGGGTTCGGGCTCGCCCAGAACGGCTGGCGGGCACAGTTTTACCCGCGTACGCGTGCAACAAGGTGGTGAGAAACCACAGCACGCAGGTGTACGAACACGAGCTCACATGCCTGCTCACGGTGAGGCAGGAGCACGTTGTTAATCTCCTAGGCGTCGCTCTCCGCCAGGGGGTGTTCCCCAACAGTCACTCGGACGGCAAGCCCGCTAACCCGGGGAATCGGCCCAAGTGGGCCCAGAGGGGGGTCGACGAGACGGCCGCCGATTACTACGAGTCGGTTGCCGCGGCGGTCAGGGAAGCGAAAGGCAGGCTGGTCTACCGTGCGGGGGTGCGGTCGAACCTGGGAATAGAAGGGGGCAGCCCTAACGATACCTTGGCGGCAGCGGTGCAGGCGCGGCGCTGGTGTTTGTCAGAAGCCCCTCAATGGTGGACTGCGGCCGAACTCACCACGTGGTCGGGGGATCGGGGTGCTTCCCCGGTTTCGGGGATTTTTCGTCGGGGGGCCCGAACGTGGGCTCGGGCGGGCGAGGCGCCGGCGCGCGCCGCCGCCGCCGCCGACGCCGCCGCAGCCGCAAGACGACGCCGACGAAGCGCCGGCAGCACCGCCGCGCGACAGACGCAAGCAGACGCGAGACCGCAGACAGCCGACCGCCGCCGAACAGCCGCCGGCAGACAGCCGCACGCCGACGAAGCCGCACGACGCACCGCCGCCCTCGGACCCCGCAACAACCGGGGGCCCACAGACCGCAGCGGGGCAGCCGCCGACAGCCGCAGCCGCCGCAGCTGCCGCTCGCAGCCAGACGCCGACGAAGCCGCCGCCGACGGACGCCGCAGCAGCAGCGCACATCCGACGGCCGCCGAAGCACCGACGCATCAGCGCTGGCACAAGCGTCCGCAGCGACGAGCCGCCAACCCGCCGCCCCCCTACCACCGACGCAGCAGCACCGCCTCCGCAGCGTCCGGCCGCTTCGCCGACCCTCCGCCGCATCCTCCGGTAATTCCCACGCGTTCCAGCTGAGGATCCCCATCCGGCTGGCGTCCTCCGCCTCCTTCATGCCTCCTCCGTCCACCTCCTCCTCCG